ACAGAACAACTCTATATAGATAACACTCTACCATACAGAACAACTCTATATAGATAACACTATACCATACAGAACAACTCTATATAGATAACACTATACCATACAGACAACTCTATATAGCTAACACTCTACCATACAGTATGGTATAGTGTCAGCTATATAGAACAATTGGTTAAAATACAGTATCATTGCTGCTTTCTTGCTATGGAATTAAATGGCTAAGGTTATTTTGATACATAAATATTTGTGTACCCCAATCAAAGGAACAAACATGACACTTCTTTGTCATAAATTACATCCACTCTTTAAATTGGAGACGGTTGTCTTCTCCGTTTACAATCTGACAGCGACTCAGACTAGAACTGGAGGATTTTCTTTATTCCACAGTATAAAAGACCTTGTCACACCTTGTTACAGGTTGATGTGAACAACACAGAATTACTTAAACATACATTGATATTTCAGACCAACTGACTTATAATTAAAGATATCTCGACAGAAATTCTGCTGTGTGAATGGATGCATTGTATGTAGTTGTATCAATCTGTATGCTATCCAGGCCTTATTGATCTGACCTATATTTACCTATAAGCTACTATCTAGACAACAATGACATTTTTCTTTGTTTCCATATAACAAAATAATTTGAAATATTTCTCTTTTGTGAATGGTATGAAAAGTTCATAACCGTTTGTTTACAGATTCTTTAAATAGTTTAAGTTAATGAGAGAAACTGTTTAAAATATTTTAGTTACATTTGTATATATAATACCAATCGTAAACAGAGGTTTATTTATGAAATCAAAAGTTTTCATTTCAGACTGATTGTTAGATTGCATTATGTTCCTTCTGGCTATACCTACATACTGGGTATGTCTGACTGTAGTCTGATTGGCTGATACCTTTACAGAGGATCAAGTTCCAAAAAGGTAATTTACACACCCAGAGCATGCAAATACAACATTTTCTACTTGTAATGATCAATTGGTTTGTAATTTCATACTTCACCTCCAGAACACAACAGGTGCAAATTGTTTATAGACTGTATTACACAGGTGAGTAAACATGAACAAATACCAGTGAAAAAGTAATTGATGAGGACATGTGTTCCGCAGTTAATAAAACCTGTCATCGCCTAGAAAAGACCGGCAATAAAACTGATAAATGTTGTTTAATAAATATTTATCTAACATCCCAATAAATGGTTCAATAACAGCATGGTAGAAATCTAATCACTTTCTTAACAAGAAAAGGGAAAAGAAACCATAGCACCATAGGCAAGTATAGAAAGGCAAGTATACACAATGGTATAATTATAAATGAAGTGTCCCCAAATAAATATACACCAGAGCACGTTGTACGTGTACCTGCAGGTACCAAAACTCACAAGCTGTCAAATATCACAGGGAATATTTGACACGATAGAATTAGAGTAATGCTATATATATATAGTATATTCAATCAATTTCCATAAACAACAAAATTATCTTTTTTGACATCAACAATACAATATATAACTACAAAGTTGTTGTTTCTGTTAAGAGATCATGAAATAAACAAGTAAGAATATACTTTGAGTAAAATAACAGGAAAATGAAAATAGATGTAGGAAACAAAATTATATAAACACAATGATAATTTAGCCACACCTTTCAACCAAATACCAAGTTTTTAATATGTGCTTTCTACCTTGACCAAGAAACCATTGGAAATCGTGTTAGATTGTGGAATATGTTGCATACAGGTACATTCAGGGAGGGAGGGGAGTGTCAAGAGGATATATCCCAGGAAACACGGTCTAGACCAGAACTATTTCTCATGGAAGTAGCTATCAGACATTTTTGTAAGATGAAAATTATCTTTGATAAAATTATTCAATTCTTTGCATAATCTCTAATAATGTCATACTTTGAAAACCAAAGTGAGAATTTGATAATATATTTTTTCAAATTTGTTACACAAAATAAGTACTTTCAAATTAAGTATAAAGAAATGATGATGTGAATCAGAAAATTATGGCTGTCAAAAATAGAGATCATCTACTGCGCTGTGTTGAACACCATCCTTTTAAAGGTATAGGTGTACAAGCCACAAAACCAAACCTTACAATGAAATGGACATGTTCAATACTAAAAAACAGCCCTATAATGTCACGTTTCTATTTTATGGCCGATACGGTTCTTTCATAGTTTAAACAAGCCAGGAAGACTATTCAATCCCCGATAGCTTCTCCAGGGTCATCTATTGTCAAAAAGAAGATTTCTAAATTTTTAAGTTTTTAATAGAATGTTCATGACATGGTACGTAAAAATAAACCAAAATCTCATCTCAATCGGACCAATCCTGTGCAGTAAAGGCAGTGTTTCGTGTGGCCTCCAGCAGGAGTGGGCCTCTGATAGTGTTAATTATAAATACTCTGACAGTGTTAATTATAAATACTCTGATAGTGTTAATTATGAATACTCTGACAGTGTTAATTATAAATACTCTGACAGTGTTAATTATAAATACTCTGACAGTGTTAATTATAAATACTCTGTTAATTATAAATACTCTGACAGTGTTAATTATAAATACTCTGACAGTGTTAATTATAAATACTCTGACAGTGTTAATTATAAATACTCTGACAGTGTTAATTATAAATACTCTGACAGTGTTAATTATAAATACTCTGACAGTGTTAATTATAAATACTCTGACAGTGTTAATTATAAATACTCTGACAGTGTTAATTATAAATACTCTGACAGTGTTAATTATAAATAATGTTATACCTGTCTGTACAGTGTATTGTTAGTAATACTCTGACACAATGGTATATATTTTACAGCTGACAATGGTAATTATATCTCGCTCATTTCTAACGACAGGTACCAATGTTTTCCTTTTACTGTTCGATTACTTCCTCGTACAATTACTCACACTAAAAGTGAAGATCTTGATGAATAGATTTTGACAGGATTTTCCTAATATTGCTGTTTTTTCTGGTAAAAAATATGTCATACTTATAACACCAATATATCATTTAATGTAGTTTCCCCAGAGTTGAGATTTTTTTAAATAATGAAAGATGAGGATGTAGAGTAAGCATATCCCTAAATGGAAGTCATGTTGATTCTGTAAATTAAACCTCTCAATTCATCAGTTAATCTAGGTACATGTTGATGACACGTCTCTTACATCAGGTGAGCATAATATCTACAGTAGAGAATTTTCAAACCCAGGGAGAGTCGAGGCATTCTGAAACCCATGGTAAAAATCCAGGCATTCTGAAACCCAGGGTAAAAGTCAAGGTGTTCTCAAACCCAGGGTAAAAGTTGAGGCATTCTGAAACCCAGGGTAAAAGTGGAGGTGTTTTCAAACCCAGGGTAAAAGTCGAGGCATTCTGAAACCCAGGGTAACAGTTGAGGCATTCTCAAACCCCAGGGTAAAAGTCCAGGCATTCTTAAACCCAGGGTAAAAGACAAGAAACTTTGAAATCCCAGGGTAAAAGACAAAGAAATCATTTATACAATTGTTTACATGCACCATGCTAAATAATGGACCAGTGTTAGAGTATGCAGTTCATAATACCTGATCACTATCCATGTCTATGTCATGCATTTTCTGGATGTTTGGAGGCAAGAGGAAAATTATTTCATTGAGCGAGGATCTAGAATTGCCCTGAAAACAATGAATGGAAAGTGAGACATGTACAGCACATACACAAAACAATGGAGTAGACAGTGGTAATGACACGGGTCGATTTATCTGATATAGGTTTAATGCTTATGGTTACAGGTCTATTCACAACCATAGACAATTATAACATTACAGGACAATTGTAAAAGCATTCAGTTTGAAAACAGTAACATGATATTGAGTTAGTTGAAAGCATGACAGTTATTGTATGATAAAAACAACACAGGATAATCACAGACTAATGATCAGACATGCTGCGGACATACCTAGGGGTTGTCAGGATATAGCTAGGAAGTCTACGTAAACTAGCACTATACACCTACAGTAGTCAGCCAACATCACTACAGGCATCCAGACACCATATTAAACAGTTACTTGTACTTCAAATTTATTTGAAAGAAGAATGTTCGGGAGATTCAAATTTTCTCGATGTGTATGTCATGTTATTTTCCTTTTCACATTAAGAAGTCCTGGCAGATCTTTTAAATCAATTGATTTCATTGAAATTAACTTGCACTATCTACGTATGTGGCAAACATTGTACTGCCAAACTCACTGCAAACAGCTGAAAAGAAATTTCATTAAAACAGACATCCTGATTTAAAGAGAATTTTACACCTCTGGTCTGTAATTTTCAATTCACATTTCACGTAATGTTTTTTTTCAATTTTGGCATTGTATTATGACACCAAATAGAATATCAAAAAATTTCAACATAACTTCTTAGGAGAATGTAACATATTATTTGCTGGTAAGATAATTGTTTCACGAACTTGTTTCCATTTCCTATGACATACCATGCGAGTGGACACCAACATCTCCCGGAGTCGTTCAATCTCCCGTCGCAGGTCCCGAATCAGAGACACATTGGGGTCCTGTACAGACAAACATGGATGTTTGACAGGTTATAAATCAAGAATAAAACAACTTCTAATAGAACTTTTGTTCATAATTTTTATAAAGATTTTAAATGTACATATCCTCTAGATAGACTATCAACAGGTACAATGATAATTATAAAACTTGATCAAGTGATCAGTAGACATCAAAATACAGATTTACATTTCTACAAACATCGTCTTACACTTNGGTGGCTGTGCCTTTATTGAGAAAATGAAGATAAATAATGATACCCCTTTAAGAATCTTATTCTGTATCAATATTGAGGCATATTTTCACAACTAAAATAAGTCATCAAATGTAATTCTCCTAAAATAGAAACTGATTTGAATGAATGAAAACCAGATCCCAAGAATCATTTGTTAAATACTATTTGATGAACTGTTTTATCTACTGAAGTTGATTTGTACCAGGTAAAATTTCCGTCCTTATTGAATCATGAAGCAGGCCTGTACTCTTATGTAATGTGTGTGTTAGTGGATCCAGGTACACGGAGATGACAATGTAATGTGTGTGTTAGGGGATCCAGGTACACGGAGATGACAATGTATTGTGTGTGTTAGGGGATCCAGGTACATGAAGATGACAATGTAATGTGTGTGTTACGGGATCCAGGTACACGGAGATGACAATGTAATGTGTGTGTAGGGGAGCAAGGTACATGGAGATGACAATGTAATGTGTGTGTTAGGGGATCCAGGTATATGGAGATGACAATGTAATGTGTGTGTTAGGGGATCAAGGTACACCGAGATGACAATGAAATGTGTGTGTTAGGGGATCCAGGTACACGGAGATGACAATGTAATGTGTGTGTTAGGGGATCCAGGTACACGGAGATGACAAT